CTCCAAAAGACAAAAACAACAACAATAATAACAACAACAACAAAAAACTGTCAGTTTCATACAGAAACTGTCTGGCTTCTTTTCCTAAGCATAAAGTTTTTGATGTTCAATGTATGTTAGTGTGTATCTTAGTTTGCTTTTTTATTGCTAGTACTCTATTGGATATGCTGCACATTCTTGAAGTATACAATTTATTAAGTTTTGACATGTATATACACTTGTGAAAGTACCACTACTCAGGGTAATCAAATGTTTCCAAAATCTTTTATAATTCCTGCTTCCTGCTCTTCCCATTCAACTCTGTCCTCAAGCCAGCCACTGGTCTGTTTTCTGTCCTGGTGTATTAGCATTTGTAAGCATTTTATATAGATAGAATTATACAGTATGAACTTCTTTTTTTGGCTTCTTTTACTCAGCACAATTATTTTAAAATTCATCACTATATGTAGCATTATCAAGTTTCTTATTATTACTAAAGACTATTTTTGTTCATACATTTACCTGTGATAGATACTTAGCGTGTTTCCAGTTTGGGGCTATTATAAAGAATTCTGATATCAACATTTGTTTGCAAATCTTTGTACATAAATATATGCTTTCATTCTCCTGGAAAAATATCTAAAAGCAGAATAGTAGGTAAATGTTTGGCTACTTAAGAAACTGTCAAATTCCTATCATCTGGTTCTGTGAAACTCTGTATCTTTTTTTTATTTTTTATTTTTATTTATTTATTTTTTTTTAAAGAGGGCCAGGGATATAGCTCAGTGGCACAAGTGCCTGCCTAGCAAGCTCAAGGTCCTGAATCTGATTCCTAGTACCAAAAAAAAAGAAAGAAACTGTCAAACTTTTTGCCAAAAAAAGTTATCATTTAACATTTTCACAAACAGTATGAATGGTCCAGTCCTTCCACATCCTCGCCAACACTTGGTATGGTCAGTCTTTTTAACTTTACTCACTGCACTAGATGAGCAGTGATAGCTCACTGTGGTATTAACTTTCATTGCTCTAATGACCAAAGATGCTGAATATCTTTTTGTGTGTGTTATCTGTTGCATCTCCTTGTGAAGTGTGTTCAAATCTTTTCCAATTTTTAAAAAATCTGGGTAGCATTATTGAGCTTGGAGAGTTTATATGTATACTGGATTTATCAGATATATAATTTGCAAGTATTTTTGGTAATCTATGATTTGTCTTTTCATTCTCTTAACACTGATTTTTAAAGATCAGTAGCTTTTAAATTTTTATAGAGCACTTAATCAATTTATTCTTCCATGGATATTTTTGGTGTCATATCTAAGAAATCATTCCTTCACCCAACTTTTTCTTCCAAAAGTACTACCACTTTAGGCCTTATATTTAGGTTTTTTATATATTTCAGCTAATTATTATATACTGTTTGAAATGTGGGTCAAAGTCCATTTTACTGCATATAAATACTTAATTATTTTGGTACCTTTTGTTGCCTTATCCACTAAAAATGCCTTTGCACCTTTGAAACTCAGTTGTCCATTAATGTTTTTGTCTTTTGTCTTTGTGTTACTGTTTCACTGACTGCTTTATCTCTTGACATCAATACCAAATTATCTTAATTACTATAGCTTTATAAATCTTTAAATCAGGTAGTTTGCCAAATCTGTGATTTTTCAAAACCACTTTGGCTATTTCAGATCCTTTACATTCCTGTATAATTTAGAACCAGCTGGTCAGCTTCTAGAAGAAAAAGTTGACTGGGACTTTGAAAACGCAATGAGTCTATCTATAGATCACGTTGGGGATAACTGACATTTAACAATATTCAGTCTACTGATGCATGAGGAAAGTACATCTGACCACTTATTTAGATCTTTAATTTCTTTCAAGTATGTGTTGAAGTTGTCAATGTATAGGTCTTTCATATCTTTGGTCAGATTTATTCTATTTCACAGTTTTGATATGACTGGAAATGACATTCACTGTTTTTAAATTTCACTTTCGAATTATTTGCTGAGATTGTACAAAAATATAAATAATTTTTATATAGATGTTTATATCTTCAACCATATTTAACTCATTTCTTTGGTCTACTAGCTAGGTCATATAATCAGTGAATAATGACAGTTTTACTTCTTCCTTCCTATTTTAGATGCCTTTTTAGCTTTGACTCTTACCTGACCACACACACTGCCTAAAAACCCCCAGACCAACAATGAACAGAAGCAATAAGAACAGATAGTCGTCTCGTTCCTGATCTTGACATTTGACAGCTATGTGGCAGTGTTGGGAGGTGGGGCCTGTAAGAAATAATTAGGGGGTTAAGAGTGATCCATGTCTTTCTTCTAAGAATGGACTCATTCTCCAGAGAGCAAGTTCTTATAAGGTAAGGCAGCTCCTATGTTTTGCCTCTTCAACACACCTGACTGCCCAGCCATTTTTCTGCCACCTTATGATGCAGCATGAGGTCCTTGCCAGAGATGATACCATGCTCTTAAACTTCCCTGCTTGTAGATCATGAGACAACACAAACCTCTACTCTTTATAAATCCTACAATCTCAGGTATTCTGTTACAGCAAGAGAAAGTAGGCTAACTCAGTCAAGATATATTCTTTTTTATATACTCCAGGATTCAATTTGTTAAAACTTTGTTTAAAATGTTTACCTCTATGCTCGTGAAATGTCATATGGTAGTTTTCTTTGGTTTTGGTATCAAGGTAATGCTCAGTTTTAGGTGAGAAAGTAAATTAGGTCTCTGCTACTCCATCTAAACCACATGCAGTCTGCTACACAGTTATTATGTTATTATCTCATCTACTCCTTCTTACCCAGTAGTATCATTACCACCATTTTACATATGGGGACATGGTAAATGGGGAAAAACAGGCTCAGAGAGCAAAGTAATATTTTTCTCTCTAAGCCAGAACTATGATTAAAACATAACAGAATGAATTGAAAGTCTACACTTAATCTCCCACTATACCGTAATACTTCAGTATCCACGAAGATTCTCTTTACACACATAAATTAACTTCTTTTTCATTGAGGAAAAAAAAAATGCTTGTCTCCAAAAAATCTAAGCAATATGACCTGGAGCCCACGTCTTCTTAATCATTATAGTATTTGTTGAAAAAAATAAATGAGATGTCATGGTTTCCTACACTTCAAGTCAGGAAGTAGATAAACTATTAACTACTGAATATACTGAAAACATATCTTTAATAAACAATATTATAAGGATATTCTATAGTCCCCAAAAGCCAACCAAAGCAATGGCACCAACAAGTACTACCACTTAAAAACTGTATCTAATCTTCAAAGCCACATTATAAAATAGGTATTATTATACATATTCTATAGATGAGGAAATTTGAGGCATGGCCTTAAGAAAGTTGCTTGAAGTCTATCATCCCTTACATAGATCGGGTATTTAAACTCAAGTCTCTAAAGCTCCAAAATATCCCTAAAAATCTGTATCTGGATTTTTGTTTGTTTTTTAGATGACAGTACTGTCAACTCTAAGCAATAAAAAGCACTGCCAAGGACTTCGCGAACAAGGAAATTTCAACACTAGATTCTACTAGAGTTCAGGTCAAGTAAGTCAAACCCGAGCTTGATGATAATGCTGTAAGTAGGTGTTTCACAATCCCTGGCTGCAGTAAACCTGCTGTGCTCCCTTTCTAAGGCAAGTTTTCCCATCATAAAGCTAGCTAAATGCTTTTCCTATATTTCTCATGATCTACAGTGAACACAGCTCAATTAGCTTGCAGTACTAGCTGCTGGCTATAATGCAGAATTCCTCTTAAGAACAGAACAGGAGGACAAAGAAAATAACAAAAATAATTCCAGCCATAAAGCAAGATGGCATGGGATGAAAAGAGTGGCTAATTGAGCATACTGCCAAAGTTCAAACACTGACCTATTCTGTCTCATTTTGCTGTGAGACCATAGGAAAGTTTTTAACCTCTCCGGGCTTCCATACTTTCATCTAAAAAATGAGGATGATAATTTTACCTCTCATATGCCTGAGAATTAAAGGAAAGAATAAGCACAACTTATTTACAATATCAACTGACACTTGGTAGGCACTGTTTAAATTTGCTATCAATATTATTATTATTCCTGTAGTTTCAAACAGAAAAAAAATTACATTTTAAATAGGCATTTCCAGTATTCTGCACTATAAAATATATATATATATATATTTGCAAATAACTTTAAATATACAGGTCATAAAAACAGCAAACACATAGGTCTATAACCCTGACTTGTTCTAAAAATGGAATTAAAAACTGATTTCCAGCATCTTCGATAAATAATTTTTAAATCAGACATAATTCATGAAAATAAATCAAACTACTTGATTCCATTAAGTATTTCTAAATACCTACTACATGCTCAGCATTGTATGCTCCAAAGGATATACAAGATCTATATCCTACTCTCAACATTAGGTAACAAAAAATACATACTTAAAATCAATAGATAAGGCAAAATACAAATAAATGTCAGTAAGTAGCACATAATTCTGGAAGGAAGAAATTCTCAGGTACCATTAAAATGTATGCATTCAATTTATAGAACAAGAAAAAATTACACACAGACTCTGGACTCTGCCAAAAATGTATACATACTTCAGGAAAAGAAACACTTGTATAAATATTTTCATACTAAATTTATTGTGACATCATGAGATTAATACAAGTTACCTTTGGCCTCTACAATTACAAGAGGTGCTCAAAGTGGTGGTCACTAACTTCCAGACATTTATTAGTACGGAAAACTGCTGCTTGGGTAACCATGGTCATTGAGATTGCTGCACACGTATTTTGAATTTCTTTTCTAAGTGCCAGCAGCGACCTCCTCTATGGTACCCCCATATGAGAGCAACACCGTGTGCTGAAAAATAACATATTATTTTCCTTTTCCGCAAATGTGTATACATTTTTGGATGGAATCTATAATTACTCATGAATAAATTAAACAAAAAAGAAAAGAGGATTATTTAATCATTTCCACTGTAACTTACTGTAGCTATTTTGGTCGTGAGAAAGTTCTCTCTTTCTTCATCTACTTTAATTTCATGTCCATTTTTAAATAACGCAAGCATTTTAGGAATGTCCCGGCCAATGGAATCTGGATAGAAAGATTTAAAAATCCAAAATTATCACTACATCTAAACAAGTAGCAAAAATTGCTGAAGAAGATTAACATGAATCTATGTAAGGATACAGCAAATAAGTTGTGGTAGACTTGTGGGTGGCAACTAGGGTACCTATTTCCTGGTTCATCCTTTGTGTGATCACCTCCCACTGGGTGTAGGTAGAAGAGGCCCACACCTCACTTTTAACCACAACACGGTGATTATGTGCATGTGGCTACACTACACAAAACCCCACTGCCTGCCTTTCAGGAGGCTCTTACTAGCTGTAAAGAGGCAAACAGCAAATTTCCGAGCCTTTGCACAGGAACAAGTTGCCACCAGACTTTAGTGTGCGTCCATCACAGGGATATCGCCTCAGGGCATAGAGCTGAAAGCAGCTTCAGACTGACAGCCAGCAACAAACTCAAACCCTCCATCCAACAGCCCGTGGGGAACTGAGTTCTGCTGACAAGGCTTTGAGTCTGCAAGTGGGCCCTCAGTCAAGGCTGAGGTGACACCAGCTATGTAAGACCCTTTAGAAGTCCCAGCTCAGCTTATAGCCATTCTGGACACACAGAAATGGTGACATAGTAACTATGTGCTCCCATAAGCCACTAAATTTGCAGTACTGTTCTTATACCATTATAGAAAATAGATGCAATAATGTTTACCCTGCTTTAAAACATAGATGACAATTAAAATCTATAATAATCTATGATTAAAGCTAAAAGTGCAGCCTTGAAATCTTTTCAGGACTTTTTATCTACCTTTGTCCTGAATTATGTGTTCTGCCTTATCATAAAGAAATGAAGCACTGAGGGTGGGCCCCTAGCGCACGGGGAGCCTCGGGCGGGGAGCGCCGGTCTTTGGA